TGTGTGTGGTGGCACACGCCTGTAGTCCCAGCTACTTGGGAGGTTGAGACATGAGAATCACTTGAACCCAGGAGGCAGAGGTTGTAGTGAGCCAAGATCGTGCCACTGCACTCCAGCCTTTTTTTGAGGCAGTAATAGGAAACCTGAAGTCTGCAAAATGTCAAAGCGTTAGACAAATGAGATTCCCCCAACAGAGGTGTCAAAGCTTTATTATTCAAATATATGTAATCAATGAAATTTGAAAGCTTTTAGAAAAAATGATTTTCATCTCCATTTAGAGATGCTCTCAGAGCTTAGTGCATGTCAAGGTGCACATCCTACCATTCTGACTGACATAGTAAGCAAAGAAAACACTTCTTCAATGAACAAATGAGCTGACTCATTTCTCCATCAGTGCATTACACAAGGCAGGACAACATTTCCTGCTGAGACTCATGGAGCAACTTCCAAAATTGAACTGCTCTTCCAAATGTAAACTACTTGAGGGATAGGGGGTGGCAAATTAATCACCTCTGGCTGAAAGTGGTTGAAGTGGAGAAGTAGATGAGGATGTCTTCCTTCGAACTAGGGTTAGGTGTACCACCTGCCCTGCATTTCGTAATACTTCAACAACATCTTGGTTGGCAAAACCCTGAATGTTCACGCCATTGACCTAAAACATCAAGAGAAACAGTAAACACAGGTTTCAAGTTAGCTACTATTCTTAGCTCTGGCAAAAATGAGGTAATTCCTTTCATTCCAAAAATAAATTATTTAAGCCAAGTATGGTGGCTCGCACCTGTAATCCCAGTACTTTGGTGGGCCAAGGTGGGTGGATCACCTGAGGTCAGGAGTTTGAGACCAGACTGGCCAACATGGCGAAACCCCATCTCTACTAAACACACAAAAATTAGCCAGGTGTGGTGGCAGACACCTGTAGACCCAGCTACTCGGGAGGCTGACGCAGGAGAATCGCTTGAACCTGGGAGGTAGTGGTTGGAGTGAGCCAAGATTGTGCCATTGCACTCCAGCCTGGGTGACAGAGCAAGACAAAGGAAGGAGGGAAGGAGGGAAGGAGGGAAGGAGGGAGGGA